CTTCGAATTCAAACCATGTGCAAATCTCCGAAGCCATTTTTTCGTGAACAGTGCTTCTAAGAGTGCTCTGGAACGACTTACTGTCAGAGTTACTAGGCTCAAGTTAGTGGCCCTTGATGCAGCTTTGAGACGGATCTGAAGTAAGGCATGGAACATCGGAATTCCGCGATGCAATAGACAGATCGTACAGTATTTCTGATCTTCACAGTGCGGGTTTGATTGGCGTTTGCTTGCTTCGCTTGACCTTACAATTAGCTCGAAGCGACTTACCCAGTCAGTTTACCCAACCATTGGTTGATGCTGGTTGAGCAGTTATTCACATAGTGAAGGTCCGATCCATGAAGAGCTGTTAATAAAATATATTAAACAATTACTCCAGCTAAGGTGTAAGTATTGGCTGTATTGTGTTATCCAGGCCAGGCCAATGATCTCGACTTCAACGGGCTATGAATTTGATATGGTGAGCAATGAAGATACAGACGACATCGGCACATTTCTACAATTTTCACACATGAAACAAGTACGAAGCAAGTTCTTCTACGACATGAGTTTTAAAGGTTTGTTTGGAACTTTATCCCAAATTGTGACCTTCACGGATAGTAAGGATTGGGAGTGAGGACCGGGGTCACCTCATCTGCAACCTTCAAATTAATCTGGGATTTGGAATTCATGTGGGTGAAGCTTTATTCAAATGAATTAAATAATTCGAATAAATACTCTGAGCATGGAAGATACCGTAAGTGCTGTCTATTTCAGAGTTTCGACATAAGTACCTTACTCAAGTGATCTTCACAAATAATGTAATTTACAGTACAGTATTTACTACGAAAGGATACGATACCTATCTCATGGAACTCAAGTGAGTTTTCTTTGTGATTTGAATATTTCTGCAGACTTCGAGGGTTTGAAAGTGCTGCGTAACGCTGACAGGAGGGGATCTGGGATCACAACAACATCCACTCCGGTAGGTGGATTAGGTTGGGAAGACCCCGTTGCTTGGATCATCTACTGATCCGTAACTTACGAGCTGTAACTTTCCTGTTGAGTACCAAGCAAAGCGTTAGTAACAAAGCGCAGAGCGATACACTCCGCTGGTTGAAAACGAGTAAGTACCTGATCCATCTACCGGGTTCGACGTCATAAGAATTCCAGATTTGCGTCTGAAGAAGGGAGTCTTACAATTAGATCCAGTAGTCTCCTCCGAGCATGGCTGCCTCCTACGTTCATATCAACGATCTGAATGGAATCAAAATGCGAGGCGTACCCTCCAAATCTGGTACCTATGACTTTTCGCACTTGACACTTGTATCACAATACTATCACATTCCTGGTATGATAGTAAAACTGCGGAACTTTGCGAGATTTTATATACTTGAAAGTGTGTGACATACAGCCTGCCTAATAGTACTTTCACTAAATTCTTATTGTCATATTTACTCAATTTCAGCCTTGGGCCATCATCGATACATTCTTCCGATATGCCGTATTTTATTGGAGTACATAGGCATGAGCTCACAGACGATGAAAAATTGGTTGACCAGTTCTATGCAAAGAGCTTAATTAATTTCATGCACGGACGTAAACCTCATAAAGGTAAGTTTAAATGACTTTGTCGGTAAAACTTGTGCTCTCAAACCCTACTCGTTTTCAAACCCTACATGGGACACATTTTTGTTGGCGACATTATGGGGATCGAAATCTGACACCATGTGGAAGTATAATAGTATTCGCAACATCAGTAACATTACATTTTTGAACAAAAATGTTACCAGAACTTGAAAACTTTGTGTCTGGTATCCTGATGCTGTAACCAGTGAGCAGCGTCCATATCGAGCAAATCCTGATGGAGGTTTGTAGGCTCGCAAGGTATAAACTTTGCTTCGGCGAGGTTTATACCTTGCGAGGGACTTGACCTTACCTTTAGAGCCGTAATATTGAATACGTTTCCTGAACTATACCATGGGAAGGTTTTGTGGGAAGAAACAACATTCCAACGCGACGTGTAGATGACTTCATGGCGACGGGAGAGCAGTTGCAATGCCCCGCCCATCGCCCATAGCATCTCCAAGACAAATGGGCAGTGGGCGGGGCATGGCTTTTTCTCCGCCTCCTCTGATTGAATATTTTTGTTTTCAAAGTAATATTTAGTAAGTCTAGAGGTTTGTAATCGAAGGTTTCCTGATTCACTGAATTGGGAAATTGGTCTGAGCACATTGCTTGTTCTGGTGAGGCTCCCACATTGCTTCGCTCTGTTGAGGTCTCCCACGCTTGTCGGCTCCAACCAGCCGCACTGTTCATGTGTGACGAGCAATTCCGACATTGTTTCAAAAGCTGGCTTGGAGTCATGAGCCATTTAATTACCCACATCAGCTGTGTGTCGAGGAAATCATTTTTCTGATGCGATAAAAGGTCTTCGTCCTTGGCAACGGACCGCAAATGAGCCATTGTCAAAGTTCATTCATGTTTCCTGCGATGTATTCAATCAAAATTAGCCGTCGCCTTTCTTTTTTCGCATAACTTCTCTCTGGCATACCCCCTTTACAACCCTTTTATTTACAGATTGGCTGCCTTTCGAACCAGCTAAGCGGAATTATTTCGCACTGAAAGTAGATATCAAGAAAAACATTTTACCGCATAACGAAATGGATTATCATTCTGATATTGTCGATTACTGGCTGTACAATATGACGCAATTCGACAAAAATCTTCCTATGACGGTGAGTGAAAACAAATAAAATGTTTTATATGATTGGCGGACAGTCTGTATGTCACTGAAGCGTGCCGACGCGATGCGGCAGCTGTCGTGCCGTGCCGCGACAGCGCGCGTCAATGGCATGCAGAGTCAAGGGCGCAATATTAAAATTGATTCATTGCAGGCTGATCCTCAATTACGTTTCGATGAAGTTGATGCCACTTCAAGTCATTCTGTACTTCGTTCTGCATTGTCCTTTATACTGTTCGCTTTGAGTCTTGCTATTGCCTTCTTCATTTTAATGGCCGCTTGTGCAGCACTTTCCCCACAGGATCCACCAAATCATGAGCGAGTACCGTTAGTGGTTCGGAAACAATCTGTGATCAATCGGAAACCAACTGTAATAGTGTCATCATTGAAGAGACGTTGATAGAATTGTACTTTCATAGGAATATTCTTAGTTACAGAAATTTTGATGTCAGAATTTTATGTTGTTTAATAAAAGGTGATTCCAAAATGTCCTTCTAGAAGGCTTATAGACAATAGGCCTCATAGGCTCGTAGGCTCACAAGAAATATTCCAGAAGGCTAACTCTAATCCAGATCGAATATCGCAAGAACGGATGCGCCTGCGGAATGAGTTTTGCGTAGTCCGTAATATGCAGCTCATTGAAACTGGCTAAACTGTTCTCCCACAAAAAAGTGGACGAGTTTTGGCAGCTTAGGTCATGGAAGTCGCGGCCAGTGTTTTTGAATATTCTATTTGCTATTGACTCTTCTATCAGAGTTATGGAATTTGTTTTTTTTTTATGTAAGACCCTGTCCTTTTCTCCCTTTTTTTTCAAATTTTGATCTTTTCCCACCTTGCTGACAAGACAGGACCGCCACGCCCCTTTCAGCCAATCCCGCCTTCTGCTTCTACCCATTGTCAACATTTTTTGACAGCTCAGGAATAATGATTTGTGCAGGAAATAATGTCTATAATAGAAATTTTTGTAACGCCACAATGACATCTTTTTGAAAACTACAACTTGAGCATATGAAATGTCTTGTTACCCTGAACACCCAACTTTGACCAAGTGATGTAACCCCTCACGAAGGGATCGAAATGGTAAAAGAAGAAAGATTTCATTTGAAAAGGCTTAAGCACATACACATATGAAATTGTAGCATGTAAACCTCGAAATGATAGAAAAAAGCTCGAAAAAAAGGTTCAATTTGTAGGCAGTACATTCAAATGTAATCAAACCAGGATATGCTTAAGAGATCCAATCAAACTCGACTTGAACACGCTGGACGTTATGCTACACTTCAGGCAACTGAAAACAATAGTTTGTACTTGTGCTTTGTTACTTTTGAGTTTGTGATGTTGTTACAATACTACGGAAATGAAGGTGCTGACATCCACAGGCCAAGAAAAAGCCTTGACAACTGTTAATTATGCGAGCAACGTGAAAATGTTGGGAAAAGGTTGAAAAAGGGATTGGTCCCCCCTATTTAACGGGGACCACATTACTACCCACCTACGAACACCCCCTGATTCCTAGTAGTACAGTCCAACGTTACCCATATCTTGATTAAACTTCATAAGGCAGACTTCAAAAGCCATTCACAAACTTCAAAGGGCCTCCGGGCCCTGGAGAATAACGGCAGGCTTAAAAAGGTGGAACCCACCGACAGACAGGTTTTTTGGAGGGCGCAAAAGTGTATTTGCTTGAAAAATGCAAAAATTTTTACATTAGGAGACTCCTGGGGAATCCACTAGAATTGGTTCGAATACATCTCATTTTAAAACAATTGCGCTTGAAAAACGAGATGGGCCATTAGACTTCAGGGATCAGGATAACCAATTATTGGTGAAGAAATAATAGACTTACTGTAACTGACTGTTGTTTCCGAAAATACTGTGCACAACGGACAACAATCACCATAAACCAACTATGTATGAAGACTGTAACACCGTAGACAAGGGCGCCAAATAACGCCACCAATGTGATTACTGAAATGATAGAGTAAAAGCATGAAGAACAAGGAAGAGCTTTTGAAAGAGATCTATTCTAAATTGGTTATGCATGTAATGATTGAAAATAGTAAAATTTCAAGGATAAATTCTTTTGACACCGATCGATCCAATCGCGTTTATGGTATGCGCCACCGCATGCGACTTCCATTCAGAATCGTAATGGCGACTTGATGGATGTGTAGCCTATACATAGACTTTCGCTAATCAGCTGATACAGAAATCAGTGCTTCTACCCTCCCAGACCTCTAGAATCAATAGATGACACCGAATGGATGGGAAGAGTACCGATCTAGGATCGTTCCGCGCACCCGCATGTGCCATAGTGCGCCACTTGCCTCTTCACCACCATCAATTAGTTGAAGTCTAATCGGAAAGCCGGTCCCATCTTCAAATGCGGAGCAAAACTTTTTATAATGGTTTCTCGGAATAATTTACTCTAACAATTGTTGCAATTGCCATTACGTATTACCTCTAATTATTATGAAATTATTATTAAATATTACTTCTGAGGATCGTTAAAACAATTCCTTTACCTGTACGTGTGGTTACTTTGAAATACTCTGAAATGGACTTCACATGTCCTGCGAGGAGAATTTCAATTTGTTCTCCGGCATACGACGTCGGATCAATAACGGCCGAAGTGTAGAATGCGGTCAGCAGCACACAGAAGCTTACAGTAACCATCTGAAAAGGACCAATCTGTTAACTATCCAAAGAAATCATACGTTCTTCTTGTTTTTATGCCTTCAGAAGCATGGGCACATTCGCCAATCAAAAAAGAGGCTCTCCAAGAACGCCTACGTCAGGGCTATTCATAGCCGCAGAACAAACTCTTCCTTGCAAACCCCTGAGTTTTTCCTTATGAGCGAGTTTGCCTCTCCTCCCAGACCAAGGATTTGGCAAACTTTATCATAGAGTAGGCCTGCGAGCCTGGGGACACATCAAGGATAAGGGGGTATTTTCAACAGATCAGAAACAAAATTTGTATAAAATTTGTCTATTCTTTTCATTTCGACCTTCAAAATTTGCTCATTTCTCCACTGCAGAGTCTCCTGTGGCCGATCCGGCCTTTTACTCCGGTTGCAATTAGTATTTCGCTAAGAGTTAAAGGCACTGTTCACGATAATTTTGGGGGACCCTTTTTTATTCGAAGAGTGGAAGTATGGATTGGGAATAGTTCATTGGTAGTGAAGAAAGCGAGAGAATTCGCCGATTTCGAGGAAATATGGCTCTTCAAAAGTAGGGAGAATAGGGGTTGGACGAGATTGCCATGACGGAAATAACATGGAAGGGGTGATCGGACGAGATTTCAGTTGTTGCAATCGCACAAAGGGCTGACTATATCAAGCCAGAACTGTACAGAACTATCTTTCGCTGTCGCTATGGGTCATGACAAGTTGTTAGAACTTTCTACATGGGTTCCCTTGCGATCGGTGCAGCCTCTACAATGACGGTGAAACTCGTCCGAGGATGCACACGGCGCAATTTTTGAGCCTTTATAACTTCCTAATTAGGTCGTTTTCCGACCTAATAGTGCCACATATGGTATACGCGGAGGCCTCAAATTCATCCTTCGGGGGAATTTCAGAAACATTCTTATCGTGAAATGTGCCTTTCAGGGACAGCAGACTTGGAAACCTGTGACGCAGTGCAATTCCGCTTAGATAGTTCATTATAATTTTCCTTGAGACCTGTTTGCTCTCAATGCATGACATTACCTCTAATGCATTTCACTCACAAAGACTGGCTATCCTCCAATTAACAAGTGATAGAATAGCTGTCAAGCGACATTGCAGTACAATAAGTGACATTCAGGGCCCATAAATGACACTACGCAGTTGGCTAAGGAAGTAGTACGAGTGAAATGTACATCGTTCACCATCCCATGGGAGTTCCAGAGAGAAAAAGAAGAGTAACTAAATAAGGAAAGCCGAAATGGGAGCTTGAGGGCTGTAGTCATGCCGAGACTCAGTGGATAACAAAATGAACAAGACAGACTAATTTTAAATGGAATGATTCGTTCTTGACATTATTCAGATAATTTCTTAGAACGCGCCATGCATCCCACTTTTTTTCAAAGTCGTAGCGTGGATTTGTAAATCGATCGTAGTCGTAAATTTTGCATTTTCTACAACAGCTCCAGTGTTTGTTTAGCGTTTAGCAAGTCTGGGAGAAGCTTTGATTTGTTAGCTTCGGGACGGGTCTGGTATTAGTTAAGCAACCTGAGAAATATGAAAAGGCTCGTGGCGACAGTGAAACTGGACCACAACTCAATCCTAGCACCGTGACTGAGACAGCGGCGCCACTTCTCAGTGCCCCACCTGTGCCTCACATTGAGTAGATTCAAAAAATCATCACTATAGAGTAAAAAGTAAAGGGATATGAAACGTGTAAACTAACGCTAATGATGGTGAATGGTTGTAAAAACGCAGGCTGCTCTCTCAACACACCATACACTAAGCATAATACCGCAATCGTATCCGAGACAAGAAAAAGAAGTTGCCAATTCCATTGAACCTAAACGGCTGATAAAATCACTGATTTTTAAAATTATTATCCTCTAATCAGTATCCTACAGTATGTGGCTATCGATCGCTCCGCATTGAGCCATCTTTACATAGACAAACGGACAAAAGTTTGTGTACAATGGACACATTTCTGGCTCCGCCCTTTTTCCGAGAACTTATAAAAGCGTTGGACAGGGATCTAGTCTGGGACGTCAAATCCGCTGTAGAAGTTTTAATTAGAGAAGGTAGAGGAGAGGGGGAGGTGGATCTTCAAACACGTTTTACACTGGAAGTTTAGTTTGTTTGAATTTTACCTTTCTACTTTTTTGCTTATTTATTCGGAATCGCAAACAAGTTCCGAAGGAAGCAAAAAGCAACAATAACAGAGGACGTAATCCGCCTGTAAGCAAAGTCAGCAGGGATCTCGAATTGACCATTCATGTAGGGACTGCAGACTGACATTTTGTCCTGGTAAATATCCAAACGTTTACGAAATTTCCACTACAAGTCGCATTCACGTTTCAAAGAGCATTTTCTGCCATCACGCTGCCTCCAATAGGCAATTCATAAAGAGGTCCGCCAAAAAACAGCACAGGCAACTTTGGTCGAAATTTTTTGCACTGATGGTGAGTTTGAGCTGCCAAAACACACCAATACCGCGTCCTGGTTGAAATTACCAGGTCTGTCTATTTTCCTAAAATGTACCGCCCGCCAAAGCCAACCAGGTCCCCCTCTCCCTGTACCAGCTCGTCTGAGAGGACAGAAGCCACTTCCAGAGCACCATCGCAAATCCGAATAAAAGTCGAGTGTGGGGATGCATTCCAAGAAGGGAACTTTAGAACCCAACGAACTGTGGAGCCTGAGCCTATGGATAGTGAGAGTTAGGTGAACTCGGTAGCCCTATTTATTTGAGCAATTTCGATGGAAAGAAAAATTAACAGTTCGATGGATATCAACTCATGGTCGGACTTCCTTTCGGGCAGAAGCAAAGGCCACAGGGCGCTCTGTAGCCTTCATACCACTTAAGCCGTAGAAAATACAATGAAAAGCTAGATTCTCTGATTCTATTTTAGTGTTAACAAAAAATTTTATTATTCTAATTATTGCAAACGCAATTACATCTACTCTATCCATTGGTGATTCACTTACCTCATTAGATTTCACCAGTCGAATTCCCAAATTAGAGACAATCATTGTCGCATAGAAAATCGCCACTCCATACGCACCATTCTGAATCATCACCTCGTCTTTTCAGTCAATAAATCGATCGAATGGGAGGTATTTTTGGAGAAAATCGATAATTTGTCTGCATTGGTTACCTTGATTCCGATAAAACTGCAGCAACATTTATACTTCTTTCCATCATCATATGGTATCGACGAAATGCTCATAGTTGCATCATTCTCTAAAACCTTGTGAAGGCTTTCATTTTTTCAAAAACAATCAGGCGAAAGGATTACTGTAATCAGTTTTCAGTGTACTACGTGAACTGAAGTCAACTGGAGAAGACGATCGGAAAGAGAACTGCTGGACGGAGGGCAATTCAAGACTCAATGGGTCACCATCAGCAACAACAGTGGCTGGTTAGCTGGCTAGCAGCCGGCTGGTTGTGAAAGACGACAGGATGACCAACAGCGTGTGGTGGCCGGCTGCTGCTGTCCGGTAATCGTCTGACCAAACATGAAACCACAACGGAACTCCCGAGGGATAGCGGAATCAGTCGATAGAAAGAGGAGACGGACGAGCGTATCGCCACAGTCGAATTTGCAACTTCACATTGCAGATTTTCTTTTCCCTCACTCACTTGCCTGCTATAAAAAACCTCCGAGGAGGAGATCAATCCAACGACTCCGTCAGTTCGTCCAGCTCTGCAGTTCCCAGACCGAATCAGCTATGGAAATAGGTTTTGTGCTCTGAGGGTTATATTCGTAGTGTTGAATTCTCAAATCTGGTTTGATGTTACCCAAGAATGCTGCGCCTTTCGCTATATAAAGCTCAGGGAGGCTAAATTCCTTCCGCGGCAAGGAAGTGCTGTTTGCTGTTTGCGGAAGAGGAAGAAAAAGCCAAATACTGTCATGAGTGCTCAGCCGTCTCACTTAGAATACGCCGCATGTTCAGTTTCCTTAGGGTTTGTAGAAGCTTTTGAATGTTCGCATATTTCGCCTCTATAGGTGAAAACCAATCACCCATGTGTGTTGATGGACTTTCTTAGAAGAGTCCTACTATCTGCCCAAGGAAAGTTAAGGGCTGCGTTAACCGGCCAGATTTCCCTTCTACAAAGTGTGCCTTTACTATACGACCTACCTAACCGCTGTGAGAGTGAGAACATCGACCTGTGTGGAAACTCACTTTCCAGTTTGCTTCTGTACCAAATGCAGAACAAGACCGTGCGTGGCGCATCTTCTCTGTAACCCAGAGAACGTCTTTGGAAATTGTCATCACCTGCACTTACATTTAGCTATTGCCAGGCTGAGTGCATGAATGAGCAAGGGACTAATAATAAGGTTTTACTGATATTTTCAGAGTGCAAGTGATCGTACTGTGTAGTATCTGGTAAGGGGTACACGCCAGGACCAGGCTATCTACCTATCTATTCATTACGGGGCAAAGTTCATCTCCCGTGACTACTCTTTATCGCCGCCGCACCTTTCAAGATAGTCTGACACAAAGACATCGATGTCACGGACTCGACCAAAAATAGATTTCAGCGTCAAAATCTAAAACTACTTCACAGTCAGTATGTTTCTGAGGTTTTCCCACAAGTGAGTTTGAAAAACCACCCTATCCGATGCCACAGAAATTTGTGGTAGGAAAGAAATCCCATCAGTAAGAATAATCAGGCTCCATTTCGGAGAATACCGACTCCCCGGCTAAACGAGCTGCCGAACAAGATATCAAAGAATATTGGTCCAAGACCGCCTGCCACTACCCGAAAAAAAACTACTCCAGCAGGGAAAATGGCCCATATAATAAGCAGGTAAGACCGTCTTACCCCACCTCCTCCCCATATCCGAGCATCTGTCCCCTCCCTATTTTCTATGGGGGAGGGTGCTCGAATTTGTTTACAGTACAGTTGCTGTTCGGCTGAAGTAGCTGCAGTACTCCTATCTCATGCTGTATCGCTTCCCTACTCTTTATTAGCTATCAAAAAAGGTCTCGCTAACTGATACGGTAGGTACAAGGAGAGTTCAGGTGCTGCTGCAATTCACGTGCTGACCCCTCCTAGATTATGGTATCGTATGTTATCGGCGATGTGTAAAAGGATAGTAAACAAAGGGTATCTTGCGCAAGAGCCTCGAGCTTAAGGTTATTGGCCACATTTGTCCAAGAAAATGCAAAGCTGGATCAGAGATCACTGCAACAACTGGCTGCTGCTGAATGGGCTTTGTGTTCACCTGGAAGAGTTCTATGATGGTAGCACTGCCTCTGTGGGAAATTTTTCTTGAAGTCCCCGGCGGGAGACGAACTTTGCCATTCCTATCGCTCACGTGCTGCCCACGCTATGCCTAAACCGACACTCTTTGTTCTTGCTTACAAAAGCGCTCGCCGTTTTGTTATTCAATCATTTCTTCAATCATTCTGATGCAACAGCCCGTGGTGAAGATGAATGGTTGTTGCTGAATAGATAAGCAAGGGGAAGTATGCACGTGAATCCCAGACGACGCCTGAACACGTTGTACGAATTGCTCCGAAAAATCCTACCGTAGACACACAACCGCTTTCCAGGACCGGTTTTTACGAGTGTGAACTGCACCCATCAACTTTCTATCAACCCTACCCCAATAGGCTTTGCACGTGCTTATTTATTTGTTTATCAGTTGACTGCAGCTTGAACATTAGCACAGCTATCAATCAATCTTGATCCAGTTGTAATGAGGAAGTAGCTAGGAAAAAGTAAAATAAAGTAAAATAAGAAGTATAAGGGAATTAAAAAATGAAACGGTACAAAGCGGTCAACAAGGCGAATCCTGATCTTAAGCTGGCAGTCAAGATTAGACCCGTGTCCCGAATACTTCTACAGAATATACTTCAGTTTTATTTACGAATAAAGAAAGTCATGGGTTTCTCACCCTTCTGGAAAGCTGTGCAACCCCCTGATACCTCTACCTCTTAGAGATGATGTATATAGAACAGCTGAACTCATTTGCCTGAGTGCCCTAGCCCTCCAAAGCTACCTAACCCGATCTCCCGTCGGTACAGTTCATGCCACTTGCAGATAGCAGTTCCGTGCGTCCTTCACTCGGTCATCGGATTCCTAGGTTCGTTCTCCTACGTTCCTAGGTCATGGTTAAGCCTGTTTCCTATGGGAAGCATCAGGTCGAATTCAGTACGAAGAAATTCTAGGGAAAGCCACGTACCCGGAGTCGTCACTCTACAGGTTGGAGTGGATACTTTGCCAATATCGTCCGAAATCTATTAGGTTGATGCATAATTATTGCGGATTTTTCCGGGGCTTCTTTTCTCTCATAAAATTTAACTTTTAAATTCGGGATTTTTGTAGAAATAATCTTCTTGCTTTCCTTAACAGAAATATGTCCAGGTAGTCATCTTCATATACGCCACACTATGCTCCATTACTTCGAGAAATATTGGAAGGCGGCCCACTCATAACGTGATCTCAACGAACTTCTTGACGATGGAGCAGTCATCCAAAGCCGAATAAAGGAATGGAATCCGCTTCTACGGTCGCCCTATCCACCCACAGAAACTCCTATGAATTATCACGTTGGTCGCCCCTTGAAAAATTGGTTAACGAGCAGAACTTTTGACGAAGTGGACGGCTTGATGGCCAACGTCAAGGCGTGATCGCCTCCAAAAATCGAAGCTTTTTCGCCTGTGGAACCCGACCGCCTAGGAAATGGGAAGCAGTGCTCGACGTAGATTGTGGATATGTTCCGGAGCAACTATTCGAACATGTCTTTGCTAAATATTTCTATCGTTTCTTTAGGTAAAATTTGCTTAAAAAAATCCGCAATAATTATGCATCAACGTAATAGAACTAATCCCAAAGTGTGGCACAAAGGATCGGATGCTGACTATGTCGGGGGCTTAGTGACTTATGCATGAGTTCGTGTTATTTCTGGATTTGTTTTTGAGAAAAAGAACTCGGAACGTTTTGAGGTTGGTTTTGGAGAGCTGCAGCACTTCATGGAACAAGCCGCAAAAGCCCATATCATTTGTCATCCTCTTTGTATTTGTAGCCCACTGGATGCACAGCGTTATGGTTACACCACCTCATAAATTTTAAAAGGAATTCCTACAAATGACCCTCATTTTTGGTTGCTATCTGACGGCACCACCTACCGATGACAAGTGTTTGTGCAGTAATAACCTAGAAAAAAAAATAGATTTCGACCTCATTCGGGAGAATAGACTCATCGTTCTTCTGAATGTACTTGACCTACCCTTCCCTTGTCATTCATTCATATCGTCCCGATTGCAATCTTCTGGGCGTCTGCACGTGCCCGCTGGCACACCTTATGTACACCGCGCTACCGTACTCCTGTGCTGAATTGCACGTGCACCATGTGAAGTTCACGTGCCGAAGTGTGGGTGGTGTAAAATTCCGTCGTAAGCTGGTCTGCGATATGAGTACATTACGTGCAAAATGTGGCCCGGCTGGCGAAGAAGCTATTTAGCCTTGACTGCACTCGTAACTGAAAGGAATGTTTCGGAAACAAATGGCAGAAGGCTACAAGGGAGAAGTCACGGGGGTGATGAAGGATTTTCTCAAAGCGTAAGCCTTATATGATTTNGGCAGATGGCTACAAGGGAGAAGTCGCGGGGGTGATAAAGAATTTTCTCAAAACGTAAGCCTTATATGATTTTTCATACTGTATCTAGACTTTTCTGCAATCTTCCAGGAATAGTTACAGTAAAAATATATTCTGTTACAGAAACAAAATTGATAGTTGTTGGAAGCCAATCCTTTCGGACTGGTCCTCGAATTCGTGAGATAATGAACACCTCGGGGATGCGTCCATACAATTATTTCACTGGATTGCTTAGACCAAGAATTTGAATTGTTGTGAACCTCCCACACACGCTGTGGAATACCTACTAGGGGGGATCCCTCCCAGACTGAAGTGCTCAGGTCTGACCCTAATGAATATACATACTTGAAGCTAATTGTAAGAACAATGTAAACCTCATGGGAAGTGGACCATGGACCTCATCCATAGTTGAGGCACTCTCTGACTCTGGTGGATAGCAATTTCTTGAAGAATGTGACTGAAGGCGATTTAGCGTGGTTTCTGCAGCTAAATAACCGACAACTAACGGATACAATGTATTTTTCAGTCTTACAACTACTCTCCCTACCTATTGCCTGCAGAATGTTGGGTAACGAATCCTCAAGTTTATGCTAAAACCGCCATGATTTGCTGGTTCC